TGACTGACTTTATTGATGTAAACAATTAACTTTAAATAGAATACAAGGGAGAGAAGATAGCAGGTAGTTAGCAGGATGTTGTAACAACCAGTCTAATACTACTATTCAACAGGAGCATAACTAGAACTAAACAGAGACAAAAGGTTTCAACCACAGATATCCTTCACACCCCACCGTTCAAGGCAGTAGTAGCCGCCACTGACCCAGGCAGCAGTAGCTACCGCCACCGACCACAACAACAACCACCGCTTACTAAAGGCCATCGTCAGTCGCTGCTGAAGACATGCCTATCTACACCGCCTAAAAATACGTGTTATACAAATCCTTGTTATACTACGTATCATAAAATACTCTTTCCAATAAATAAATAAATAAATAAATAAATATATATATATATATATATATATATATATATATATATATATATATATATGTATATATATATATATGTATATATATATATATATATGTATATATATATATATATATATATATTTATATTTCATATTACTCCATACGTCTCATTTTATATGATAATTAATATTTTTTAAAAATGAACGAACATAAAAATATATATAATTTTCTAATATTTAGCAAAACTTGAAAAGATTATTTTTTTGATTTTAAGCTAAACACTAGAAAAAGTTAGGGGTCGTTTACTAACTTGGAAAAATGGAGGATTTTTCAGAAAAATAGAGAATTGAAGAAGTGGAAAAATGAAAATTGGAAAACTTGTTTACTAAAATCATTCTTCCAAATTCTTACTCTATCTCCATTCTCCATATTTCTTAAGGATTTTGGAGAAAGAAAAAACCAACTTCTCCATTTGGAGGAATGGAAAGACATGAGTGAACAGTGTTTGTGTTGAGATTCAGGGATCGATTCCAGCTAGGTGCATGCGCGTCCTTCTTCTCCTTGTTGAGTTGCTCACTGTTGGTCATGCATTCCCCTCCCCCTTTAATTATTGTTGCTCCGCATTACTAATTATTATTTTCTTTTTCTTTTTCTTTTTCTTTTTTTCCCCTCATCCTTATTGTTATTACTAATTAAATTTTTGTTATCAATAAATTATTATTATCATTTTTTCTTTTTTTTTTCTCTCATCCTTATTGTTATTACTAATTAAATTATTATTATCATTTTTTCTACTTTTTTCCCTCAAAAATACCATTACCGTTATAACTTCCGTTATTTTTTCCACTATTGTTACTATGTACATGCATCTACCATATATTTTCTTATATTCTTCAACAATATATATATATATATATATATATATATATATATATATATATATATTGAAATTATATGTTAGTTATTTCCTAACATATAAATATCAAATTTATAAAAATATTTTACATTATTATTATTATTATTATTTACAATAGTTTAAATATTTAAAATTTAAATACATTTACAATTTTAATATAATGTACTAATATTTTGTCCCTATTTTTTGTGCATCGTGCATAAAAATACTAGTAATAAAATAAAAATTTAAGAAATTAAAAACGGGAGGAATGGAGAAATGGAAAACGGGAAGAATGGAGAAGGAAAATTGGAGGAATGGAGAAATGAAAAACTGGAAGAATGGAGAAGGAAAACTAGAGAAATGGAGAAATGGAAAACTGGAAATGGAAAAACAGAGAAATGAAGTAAACGATCCCTTAATGTCTTCCAAAAAAATAACCATTTCTACAACAATTTGGTAGTATTTTGATATATTTTATATAATCTAGATTTTTTACATGGCAATAAATGGAAAAAATAAATTCTTTGAAAATCTTTCACATGTTTAACATACTTAGATTAACGCATTAAAATATTAAGATAGGATTACACGTTAGAGTTATGGTCAGTGAAAAATTATAATTTTAATATTATTAAAAGGCATGCAATCCACTAATAATAAGTTCTATTTTTCTTTTTTAAAGTACGTATGTCAACAATATATTCAAATATCAACTTACTCCCTTAATCTCATTTTATATGTCCAGAATCAATGAACTAAAATTCCGATGAACTAAAATAACAGAATCTATGAACTAAATTTCAGAATCTATGAACTAAAATTTCATAGTGAATGAACTAAATATCCATAATGAATGAACTAAATATCCAGCATGAATGAAAAAAAAAAAATCAGTTTCGATTCACGTCTAAATATCCATAATCAATTAACTAAAATTCTAAAATCTATGAACTAAAATTCTAAAATCTATGAACTAAAATTCCAGAATCTATGAACTAAAATTCCAGAATGAATGAACAACATAATGCTATTGTGGGGAATCAAAACTGAATTTTTTTTAAGTGGGATGCGCGTTTTTAATAAAATGACGTCGTTTTTGCATCCGTATGCAGCATGCATGGTGCATACGGATGCACAGCATAACGATCTATTGTTTACAATGTAGTATTTTTCTACACTTTCTCAATCTTTTTGAGCCTAAAGAATTAATTCCCTCACCCCAAGAGTTTGATCATGTGACCACTCAATTGGAATGGTAACAAAGCCACAGAGTGTAGTAGTTGACAATTTTTCATAATACTTATTTAGTAGTAAAGATTTATATATTTAAAACTATATTAAAAGTTTTACTAAAAATAAAAAACCAAAATCCTTAAAAGTGTAGATGAGCTGGTGTTGGTATCTTCTAGCTTAATTAGAAGTCTCGTATTTGAACTTAAGTAGTCTTAGTGTGGGAGAGTAATAACTAATTAATCCCTTTTAAGTAAAAAATTTATTTCATCCAATTAATTAATACTTTTTTTTTTTTTGAAAAATCCAATTAATTAATACAAATCATTGGTATACTATATATTGTAATAATATGAAAGAAATAAAATTAGAAAAAGCATAATAATAATAATAATAATAATAATAATAATAATAATAATAATAATAATAATAATAATAATAATAATAATAATAATAATAATAATGTGGATTTATGAAAAGTGTCGTCAGATATTGCATTAAATGGTGCACTTGTGAAGCGGATCAAAAGCATGAGAATAAAGGAGGCCATGAGCATTAAAAGGGCACTCTCTCCATTCCATTCATGCATCATTTAATCAATCTACCAAATATTTATTGAGTTGCTCAGATTTCTAGATTGCTAATTCAAACCATTATTCCAACCACACCATTTTCTTTTCTTTTCATTTTCTTTCTTTATTTTTCTCTTTCTAATTAACACATTTATAACTACATGATAATAAAAAAAAAATTTATTTATCGCATTTAATTAAATATTTATTTATTTTTCTCTTCGAGTTTAAAATATAATTTTAAGTCTTACAAACTCGAAAAGAGTATAAGAATGGGGCATCAATTACTCCGTAGATGTTTAGTTGTAAACACACAAACTATAGAGTCAGGAGTTTGTCACTGGGCCCCATTTCATGACTTTTGAAGTTTGAACACAACCCAATGCCTAGCTGGGACCACACACTTATTGACAATTTTTATTGCAACACTCATACATTAATATTATTGTTGTTGTTATTTAGGTTAAAATAAAATCACTTTATTCTTAAGTAGAGGTTTTTTTTTTTTTTTTTTGTTTTTTGTTTTTTGTTTACATTGCTCTTACATCACTTATTAGCATCCGTTACTAGCTATAATTTTTGACATAATAGTATGTGGTTAATTAATATATCCTTCAGCACTCAGTGCAATTAGACATATCATGTATACATATGATTGGAATAGACACAAGTAACGATGTTAATCGGTACCTTAAACATTTCAAGTAAGGTTAATAAATTTTTAACAAAGTGACATATCTTTCTCTATCGTGACATTTTTCATTCTTAAATTTCTGTCATACGTAACACAACGTTTTTCATTGTTTCTAAAATTTTGGGTTAAGAACAAAGACTAGAGTTGGTCAACTGTTGTAATTAATTTGCACACCTTATTTGTCAAAGTTAAAAGTCACAACCTAGTCGAGTTGGTCGTGCAATTGATTTAATAACCATAAGATTCTAAATTTAACTCTCTGTAAAAATTTGTTTATTGACCTTCTCAATTTAAGTCAACTTAAAACCAATTTACCTAGCTTCCTATATATGAACCTTTGCCAATAGAATTTCCGTAGATCAAAATTAAAAGTCATGAGAGTAATATAATGTTACTTTAAAATATTTTAATATTTTATGATTCAACATACACGACTAGGGGTGGGCGTAATTTGAATTATCCGAATTACCACTCAAAATCTGAATTGAATCTTAAATTTCGGGTGAACCCGAAAAGTTATCGGTTCAGATAATTTAAATTTTGTTCGAATATCGAGTGTTAAAAATTTATCTATACCAGAACTGAAACCCAAACTAACCGAAAATTTATTTATTATAAATATAATAATATAAATTATATATTTAATTTTAAATATATTTCATATATATATATATATATATATATATATATATATTAATTCTATTTTGTCTTATTTTTAGTTTGATACTATATGAAAAAATATAAATAAAAAAATAATAAAATTGTTAAAAAAACTCAAAATAAATAAAAATAAAATTTTGAATATATCCAAATCAACCCGAAATAAATAGAAAATAATTTCACCCGAACCAAATATATTTAAATTAAATTTGATTCAAATATCGGGTGTCAAAAACATCACTCAAAATTTTTGAATATCCAAAATAAAATTCAGTTGTCACCTGAACTGAACTTGCGCCCACTCCTATACACGACACAAATAATAATAACATTAAACCGACAATCACTATTAAATCATAATAATTAAAACAATAAATTAAACATATATATATATATATATATATATATATATATATATACACACATTATATTCTTGAGTGTCGACATAAAGTTATTGTATTCCCTACCTCTTAAAACCCAAGACTGGACCACTACGTATAACAGTTACACATGCAGATACATACATTAAGAGTGTGCATGTGTGTGCATGTTTGGTTTATATTATTAGGTTCCAATTTGGACACAATAATAATGTCATTAAATAGAACAAACTTCAATTCATTAAGAGAAGTCAATACCCGAACCATACAATAAGCAAGAAACCCTGGACATGTATGGTGCGTTCTTGACTCCATCTTTAAGCTCAAATCAATGTTCAAGATAAACCCACACCAAAAATTATAAAAATAAAACTAAAATTGAATTTCCCAAGAAAAATTTGCTTCCAAAGAAAAAAAAATAAAAAGAAAAAAAGCAAGCATAAATGGCATTGAGTGAGAGAGGCAGGCTTCTGGCTCTTCATTCATGGAGCATAGCTAGCTAGCATTCATACTTCCCAACTAACCCAAAATTAACTCTCTTTGCCTCATTCAATTCAAGAGCAATGTAAACTTCAATTCTCCTTCTCAACTGTACCATATTTAAAGATGGCTTTGCTCATGCTTTGGTTCAGGCTTTGGCTCGGGTTCGGGTTTAGTGAATTCCACTATTACGACGCGATCTAACATTGGGTCATCAATCCCGAGGAACAGTGGGGCTGATGACATAATGTTAGAGGCGTGGTAACAGTACAATTTTCTCTTGAATTGAAGGTGGGTTGTTGGAGGTATCAGATAAGGTTTAATGATTCATACTGACTGAGATGGATGCCCCAGCAAGCAGTAAAGGGAGTAAAATTGGGTTTGAAACAAAGAAACGAATGGTTTTAATGATAAAGAAACTATTTTTTTTTTAGGGTTTTGATTTTTGAATGGTGGGAATTCAAGAAGCGGAGGTGGGGACGGCGGAGCAGTTCAAGGCGGATTTAATCTGGTGGACGGTGTTTCCGATAAGGCTGTTCACTGTGGCGACGGATTCCGGGCTCATTTTCGCCGACGGCAAGCTACTCACCAGAATCTGAAACACGACGGTGATGAGGGACCCGCCTTCCCCACCACCTGCTGCTGATGTAGATGTACTGCTAGCTGGATTGCTTGTACTTGATGATGCCTGGTCAATATTTATCTTAGTACTATTACCTCGGTCCGACCGGCCGTCCGGCGAGATAGTGAACCCCGACGGGAGGAGCGGGATGTAGGTGGGGTCCTCGCCGCTCATCGCCATGTTGATCGCCGGCAAGTCCACCGGACTGTACACCACTAGGCAGCCTGAGGAATCTATGCAGCTTTCTTGAAGTATTAGCATGTTGTTCTGGCTTGTATTGTAAGCCTGCATGCCAACATTAAACAAATTCTTTTACCCAAATTGCACAAATTTTATATATTTTATTCATTGACATAATAAGAAAAATAAATATGAGAAAAATTAAATTTTGGGTCCTCTAAGTATATATTCTTGGAATAGATTTAGTCCATACGTTATGTGTGTAACCTCTAAAATGTGAGAAGTAGTCCCGAAAGACCAAAACAACCACTTTGATTGCAGAAATAGGTCTTGAGGACTAAAATTGTCACTTCGCACATAACTTAAGGGTTAAAAGATGTCACATATATAACTTAAGAGACTAATACTGTACCACGGATATATATATAACTGAATGACTGAAAATGTAATTTTTTCAGTAAATAAATAAATAATAGATTACCCTGAGAACAGAGATACAATTCCCTGGATGAGAGCCATTTGCAATATGAGCTACTTCTTGGACAGGATTTTGATTGGAAAGAACATCCCACTGCATATTTCATTGTTTTTTAAAAAATTAAATGTGTTTAATTTATCAAAAAAAAAAATTTAAAGAAGATGGGAAGTGAAGTATATATGCCTGTGGTCGAGTCCTCTCATCCCTGAAGAAATTGAAGACAAGCTGGGGAGAAATTGGGAGCCAAATGGTGGTGGCGGCGCTGATGACGACGCCGTTGGGCTGGCCGGGGTCGGTGCTCTTCTGTAAGGTGGCGCGTACCTCGAACTCGTTGGCCCCCGACAGCGTCGTCCAATGGTGACCGTTGGATGGGTTCACACTCCCACAGAAGTTGTTTACCATTCTTTGCGCTAGCTTCATCATGCTCCTCTTCCCTTCTGCTGATGGAATCACTGCCATGCATTTTAATTTCCATTCATTAATTAATCCCATCCCATAATTACTAATATTCTAATTTGGGTGACCAGAAAAAAAACCCGCAACCACTACTTAAGAGTTGTGCATTGGGTAAACCTCATCTCGTGACCTTAGCCGACAAAAGACGACAAAAAGGTAAATCAGCCTATGTTGGTCATAGCTAACCGACCTCAAATGAAAAAAATTGGAATTCAAACTGGTAACCTTGTGGTTACTCCTTTAGTCTATCAAATTTGGTAATATTCAATCAAGTCCGGTACGGTCAGAAGAAGCAGCAATTAGACCAAATTTCATTCATATAATAAAACTGTCAATTTCTTTACCTAATTAATAGGACTTAATTGGAATTAGTAGTATGAAATGGAAATGGAAATGGAAATTACCTCCTCCAAGGTCACGACTAGAAGAGCCACTAACCATTAAACAAACAAATCTCTCACACATTCTTTGAAGCACAGTGAGCCACCTTTCAGCCCCAAAAGCAATTCCACTTTGGATAACATCTCTATACAGCTTATGTAGTATAACCTTGTCTTCCACCTCCACATGCTCCACCCATGTAACCTATTCTTGCAAAACAAGTAAATTCCCAATTTAATCAAAACCTTAATAATAGTAAAACCTTAATTTAAGGGAATTGAATCAATCATTACATTGGAATATCCATTGGGCATGTCTTGAATCAAACACCCGGAAGGGAGCCTATGAACTTTGCAAGAAGAAGGAGATTGATAATTATCTTGAGGAACATCATAAGAAACATCAACAATTGCCCATGACCCTTGCTCAATTTGCTGACAAAACCTTAAGAAGTAAAATTGTCTTGTCGGAACCAATGGAGATAGCACTTGCAGCTCTTCATACATCTGTGAACCCCAAAACAAAATCAATTTCAAGAAACACACAAATAATACACCTATCTCTATTAAACTAAATCTGGGTTCGTTGGGTGGAAGCCAGTAAGGGCCAAATCCTGCCAGCACCATATGACTAGTGGATTATTGGGCAGAGGCTGGTCCAACACTCTTGAAAATGTGTGACTGTATAAAAAAATAAAGTTACTCCTTCGAGGATTTCTTAGTTCTTACCAATTGTAATGTCCCACTTCGGCTGCCCAATACACCGGATGATATAACTTCGAGCGTGGATGCCTTGGAAACAATCGTAGGAAACATTTCCACCCATTTATTCTGCAACAACAATCATAGAAAATCTGTTCAGTAACAAGCAACCTTAATTTTTTTCGAGGAAAACAAGGAAAGCCGACCGACCGCGTCCATGAACATGTCGACCAACGCAAGAGCATTCATAATAACAACACCGGAATCACGCGACGCCTCGATCCGCATGTTGGGGTTCTTCATATGATTACTAGCGCGGGGGAAAACCCTTTCGTAGCTTTCGAGGTTAAGCAAGTCTCGCCCGTCCAACGATTTGGTCCAAACAGATTCATTCCCCTGCAACAGCCTAATCAGCTCTTCCATGGCGTTCCCCGCAATATCCGCCATCAGGGACCGGTCCATATCCGACAGACTCAACGCCGGGAACGGAAACCCCGGCATCGCCGCCGCGCCGGAACTCCCCGGCAAGAGGTCCAGGTCAAGGGATGGGCCGCCGGGAATTCCATGGCCACCGTAGCTAGACATGGACAGGTCTAGTGAAGATAGATGGATAGGTTGAACTGGTGGAAGCTGTGAAATGGGCCTCCCTATATACTTAGCAGCTATACTTGAAACTTTATCAAGCTATATACCAAGAAAAAAAAAAATAGGGTTTCATATATATATCATCATCATAATCATAATATATAATATATAATAAATTATTAAAGTACCTCTTCTTTTAACGCCATGTTTTCCATTCGGAGTTTATGCTCGTCGAAGTAAGAATCTTCCCGGAGCGGCGGGCCGCCGCACGACGGGCAGATGACATTCTTGAGAGCCTCTCTGATTGCAATATTTTCGCACCTGATTTTGTCGTTTTCTGCCCGGAGAGCGCAATTATCTGCCCGTTCATGTTGTGCCTAATTTTTTTTTTTTATATAATTAAGCAGGGAAATAAATAAATTTACTATATTTAGCTATCATTTTCAAAAATCTCAACAGAAATTAATTAATCAATCAATTTAATAATAATAATTAAATATACCTTCATTTGAGTTCTCCTATTTTGGAACCAAAACTTGATCTGGCGAGGGGCCAAACTCAACTCTCTACTTAACTGCAGCCTCGTCTTCTCGTCTGGATGTGGACACTCTTTGAAAATTCTTTTTTTTTTTCATAAAAAAAAAAATTAAAATGAATGGAACATTGTTTATATCCGATCAAAAAAGCAAATTAAACCCAGAAAAATGGCTTACGATTCAAGTCTTTGAATTTGGTTAGCGGTGTGACGGTGGTAACGTTTCTTGTTCCGGTTACGATCGGAGGGATCATGGTGGTCGCCGCTGCCGCTGCCGCTGGCACTGGAGCCACCAGCGCCGCCGCCGCCACCGCCGCCGCCGAACTCCATCGATCTTTACCGGACCTCAAAACTCCTCAACCCAACAAGAAGCACGAGAAAGACTGCCACTCCAGCCCATCACACGACCAAAAAAAACTTAGATTTTTCTCAAAAAGCACAGCGAAAAAGAAATCAGGGAAGAAGAAAACGATGGGGGGAAGTTGAAGAATTTAAGCATGTGATGATGGTGAGGGCATTTTTTTTGTTTATAAAAGTAGTGGTTTTATATATTGAGAGTAACAGACGGAAAATTAGACAGAGATGTATAAATAAATATATGTATATATATACACAGTGTTATGATATGGAGAGCATGAAATTAGAGAGAGAAGAATGGAGGATTTTTTGGTGTCAAGACAAGAAAATTAAAAATAAATAAAAGAAATGGAGAAAGGGCAGAAATTACTCTTGGCGAGGAAGGTGGGGTAATTAAAAGAAGAATAATAATGGTGGTAGTAGTATAGCTGGGGGGGGGGGGGGGGAGAGAGAGAGAGAGGGGAAGATGAGGAGGGAAAGGTGGCAGGTGGTAATAGTAATAATAATTCACTAATGCTACTCCCTCCATTTGAATTTATATCACCAAATAAACTTAATTTTAGTACCTCATTTTACAATAACTAAATGAGTGAACCTTGTGGGACATCAAGACCCTTAGTTGAATCTATTATAATTATTTGTTACTCATAATAGAAATTATAACATATATTTATAGTTAATTTCATTTTTAGTTCTAAATTTATATATAACAGTCCATTTTAGTTCTTTTTTTATTAGAACATTTTTATTTTAGTCCTCAATTAACATAATCGTTGAAATGTTATTAAATACAAAGATATTTCAATTTTTTTATACAAAGTAGGTTGAACCGCTATGATTTTTATGTTTTTTTTTTTAATTTTTGAAAACATCCATAATTGAAGACCGATATGTCATTGTATTTAACGATATTTAAACTGTTTTGTTAATAAAGGACCAAAAATGATCATGTCACAATAATACTAGGACTAAAAATGAATATTCTTATAAAAAAGACTTAAAAGTGGACTGTTACCTATAAATCTATAACCAAAAATGGAATTAACTCCATATATTTATTATTAAAAAAATTAATATTAATTTGAAATAAATAAATTTTGATAAAATTTGAAATTAATATTATTTAGGATAAAATGATTATTACTAACGATAAATTTTGTAATACTTATAAATGAAATTGTGATACTTACAAAGTGTAATTCTAATGTAAATATTGTAATACTTATGAAATGTTACGTATGAAAGAAATTGTAATACTTAGTATAGAAATTCTAATATCAATTACAATTAAAAATAACTCGTTACTTATAATAGATATCAATGATATGTGAGACGGTTTCACACAAGTTTTTGCCTAACTAAATATATTGAATTAGGGCTGAGAAAAAAAATGGATCAACTACAAACTAAAGACTGATAATTGAATCGATCATTATTGTGTAGATCATAGTCCACACAAGTTGTATGGACCATATTTTGTATACTGTAAAATAATGTACATTGTATTCAGGAAATGTACATTATTTTTGTACTAAGTGTACATTATATTGTATAATGTACATACAGTACACAAATAATATACATTTAGTACATTAAAAATGTACATTTTCTTATGGTGCACCCAATAATTTGCCTAATTGAATTGATCAAAGTTTCATATATCAATAATGAAGTTTTTAAAATTTTTAGTTTTTTTTTTTTTTTTTGAAAACCAAATAAAACTTCATTAAATTAAATCAGCATAGAGAACATTTACAATAAAAGATGGAGGGGTAGTAGCCCACTCCATACATACAGACATGGAACAAGCTTCCTTAGCAAGATTATGGACAACGTTGTTAGCAGTACGACTAACATGAGTGATAGCAACACCGGTAAGTGAGCGTAACATATCTCTAACATCAAGAAGGACAAGATCGCATGAAGACACATCCTGAACATGATTGAGGGATTGAACAACCTGCAGCGCATCACTTTCAATCTGCACATGGCGGAGATCCATCCTTTTTATCCAACTCAAAGCTTCCCTTATGGCCATAGCCTCCGCCTCCTATGGGGACAACGCTTCTCTGCCTGGTGTACTAGCTGCCGCCAAGAACTGGCCATTCTCATCACTCAACACCCTATCCGGTTATTGGAATTATCAACAGCTGCGTCGGTGTTCATTTTAAAATTTTTAGTTATTTCAACTTTTTAGTCAATTGTAGATATTGTGAATAGTTGGGAATTTAGCAGACACCTATGTTTCGGGGTTGCAATTTTCAGTTATTGGTTATGACGTTTAAAAAATATCGTTTATATTGATTTTTTGTTGTCAGTTACAATCATCTTAATTTTTTTTTTAGTTATTACGGTTATTAATCAAAAATCAATCGAAGCGTATTGTTGCACTCCCATAGATTGAGTAATATGTATCGCACCCAAGAGTTATCCTCGAATAAGGCAAGTACAAGTGAGTCTAACTACATTAGTCTCATTTCAAATGTCAATTTGCTATGTGGGCAAATTTTTTGCAAGATTTGGACGTTCTTGGTTTATCTCGTCTAGCATGTGTGGTTGCGGCTTGGGCAAGGTCTTTTTACTATGTTTAGTTTATTTTAAGCATAGGAATGTTGACGAAATTGTATCTTTCTTACTTGGACACTTGTTGATTTTGTGTGAGCTTCTCTTGGACTCGAAACCTACTCTTCTTGACTTTGTATATGTTAACTTTTGGATTAATAAATTGAAGATTTTTTGGAAGAAAAAAATGCCAAAAAGAAAAGAGAGAGAGTAATAATACTTTACAATAGATTAGGCTACTCTTGCAGTCTTGCTTAATTGATAATATAATGTTCTAACATTGTAGTTTAAAAAGTTAAATTTTGATTTATTTAAAAATAAATAAATAAATAAAAAGGTTTAAATTTGATTCCAAAAATGCACTGCAAAACTATTACTATAGGTACTGAATTGTAGTTCGAGACACGTTTCGACATTAAAATGGGATAACCTCATTTTTCTTATAAACTTTTATATATAGAGGTAGTTAGATGATTGAAGGATCATCATTACTGTGTTTTTTTTTTTGTTTTTTTTTTTTGGTGACATTATTATTGGGTAATAAATACAAAATAGATTTTATTACTTAGCAATGTTATGGTTGGACTAGTTAGCTAATAAATAAATACTCCATTTTACTTTGTTTGTCATATTTAAATTTTGAATGTTAAATTAATTCTTCTTTATTATCTTCTTTTCTTTGTATTTTATAAATTTGATTTTTAAAATTTAATATAACTGTGTGTGTGTGTGTGTGTGTGTATATATATATATATATATATATATATATATATATATATATATATAGTAGTTATGAAAAAAATAGTAGTTATGAACAAATACTACATTATACTTGTAATAGAGTCAGTAACACTAAAAAAATGACATATAAATAATAAATGGAATGATAAAAATTGGACAGGGAGTATATTAAAATAATAATAATAATAATGTTATATAGTATTCGTTTTTTTTTTAATCATTCAATATTTTATGTTTTAATTTCCTCTTTCTTCTGTGATTAATTTCTATTTCTTTTTTCTAATTAATTAGAAATACTACATATATTTCGTTTTTTTTTTTTGTTAATAGGTCTAATTTTGAGATGTGAAAAAGAAGAAAAATTAAAGAGAAACGTTTTTGTGGAAATATAATAAGTCCTGGTTTGATTGAAAAAATGAATAAACTTTCTTATTTTGTTTATGTTATTCATTATTTTTTTTATTTATTATTAGGAAGGGGGAGACCCAAGGAATACAAAGCAAAATCAGAGTGTGTTATACCTAAATCTCCACGAAGGGAAGCCAGCTATTTCATCTTCTAAAAAGCTCAATATGTCATTATGTTATTCATTATTTATGTTGCTTGTTGCGCCTTTGTAAGAAATGCATTTGCGGTAGTTATTTTTTAATTCAAAAAATTATATTTTGTTATTTAAAAAACATGTTTATATCACGTTTATTCAATTTTTGATCCTTTAATAAACGAGGAAAATAACATTATTGTCCCTAATTTATAGAGGAAAATAGCAATTTTCTTCCATTAATTATATCTGTTATTGCTTTCTGGTCCTTTGATTGTCTATGAAGTGACCTTTTTGTTTTAGAATATTATTTAGGTTGCATTAAAAAATCACTTACGAATGATGAACATAAAAAATCACGTTTTTTAAAAAATATTATTTACTCAATTACAAAGTAGTATCTGTTCTATATAAAAAAATCACTTTAATTAGCAGAAAACTAAACAGCAAAAAATAATTATATTATATATAATTAATGGACTAAAAGTATCATTTCTTCTTAACAAATTTAATTATATATACAATTTTTTTTTTTAAAAAATCACTAATCGAATCAAATACATAAGATGAGGGTTTCAAGAAGTCGGGAGTTAATAAATTAAACTCGAGCTAATACCATCTGTGGTTCTTCAAGTATAGTAGTTTTATCACGTTTAATCATAAATTTTCAAATTGACCACCTATAGTCTTTCGACTTTCAAATTTTTACCATATGTGGTCTAAGTTAACCAATCATGGTCCTTCAACTATCAAATTTTAACCATTCATGGTCCTTCCAAGATGATTGCAGCTGGTCAAATTTTGAAAGTCGAAGAACCATGAGTGATTATCTGGACCACGAAAGGTAACAATTTGAAATTGAAGACCATGAATAATCGATGATCAATTTAAAAATTTAAGACTAAATGTGACGCACAACCATATACTCAAAAGACTCCATATAACAATAACTCATTAAACTCTCAACTAATATAATATATGTATATATATACCTATAGGTACGTGGTTGCGTACAGTAGGGCTAATTTATACCTGTGCGGGTGGGTGTGTGTACGCGTGTGTGTTGCTAGTTGTAAGTTGTAACCGACGGATTTATGGTGCTCTGATTACACGTCTTCTGTGCGTTTTCTTTTCTTGATGTAATCTATAAATCTATTTTGAATATTTTTACTCCATCCCCACAGTCAATCCACTCTCATTAATGCACCCGTTGTAATTTTGAAGGGGTTATATAAGTAGATTCCTAGTAATTTTATTAATCTAATAATAATAATAATCAAATCTGCTCTAAATTACCTGTACTATACACCTAGATTACACCATTTTTATTTTAATTGATCTTAATTGTACCTTATATATAGGAGTTTTCAATTTAAGTTATAATATTTTTTTTTTCTCTCCCTCTTTTACTTGCATATATATATATATATATATATATATATATATATATATATATATATATATATATATATATATATATATATAACTTATCATTCTTC